GAAGAAGCTGGCCTCCAAAAAGAGGAAGGCGACCAAACCAACAAACTCAACATACTTCAAGGACTCTAGATGGAAAAAAGGATTGGGCGAAGGATGGATGTAGGCTAGTAGACTAGGCTACAAGCACATTGACTTAACCTCCTCCAGTGACCTGTGACCAGCTTGATGATCCTTCTGTGCAGGAAGCTGATGAAGCCCCTTTATCTAGGGGCAAGAAGCTGCTGGTGCGTCATCATCGGTCGAGGGACTGAGGAGTGTGATCGCTCTGCCACAGCCTAGTGAGAGCACTTTGTCGCTTCAATGGATTGTGATAGATCGACTTCTGTGTTTGAGGAGACTCAGTTTTTGTGGTTAAGAAAATTCTCTTCATGTTTTCTAGCATTTGTTTTTTGATGTAGGAGAGGCAATCTAGATTATCAACTTGTTGTTAGGGGAACAATGGTTAGGGCCAAACTTTGGGACTAGTTTAGACAACTCTGGCACCATACCATAGCAAGGAGAATGTGCTCAACTGCTCGACCAACCCCTCTGCGACCCATGGAGACACGATCGACAGGTGGAGGATGTCCCCTGGGCCACTGGACCATCGATTGAAGGAGATGGAAGACCCCTAAGCTTAGATCATTGGATGTTGATAGAGGAAGAGAAAAAGCTGTGAGAGGAGCCGGCGGCGCTTCAGTCTGAGTGTGCGAACATCCAGGAGACATACTTGATGATCTGGGTTAAGGTTAAAGGCGACCGTGTAGACATGATTAAGTTTGGTGGTAAAGTTTTGTACAAGATGGTGCTTCAGCGAGTGCTTGTCTCGCCTGATGCGCCGAATTAGTCGCCTGTAAGTTATTTTTTTGGAATAAAGCTATGAGTTTTTTTATTATTTTTGAAATAAATTTTAGTTTATATAATTTTTTTTCTCTCGAATGGTGTGATACATTTTTTGTGATGCTTTAAAATATAACATCATTGTACTAAAAATATGCTTTGAAATTCTTGAAAATTCATATGCACATGGACTGTACAATTTCCAGGTCCCAGTTTCCTCACATGGAGAAAATTTGTATATAACCGAAATATTTTGCTCCATATCACTATGAAAAAATGTGTAATATTTATTACTATGTGGCACCAAAGAGCGCACATGGCACATGTAATTATTAATGGACCTACTTCTCATCCTTAGGGCTGTAAGTGAGCTGATCCGGCTGGTGAGCTGGCTCGAGCTCGGGTTCAAGCCAGCCCGACTCAACTCATTAGCAAGTCAGCTGGCTCGTTTAAGAAAATACTTAAATAAAATATTCACAAAGTATATAAAATTTTAGCACTTTATTTTTAAGATATTAAAAATGTTAGAAGAATAATATTATGTATTGTATATTAGGTGATTTATTATTATTTATCTTATTATAAAGCTAGCTTAAATTAATATAATTTTCTCTTTTTTATACTAAACAAGCCGACTCGAACTCATAAGCTCGATAAAAGCAATCAAGCTCAAGCTGAAGCTTGAGGGTGGCTCTAGCTCAACTCAACTCATTTAGACTCATGAAAATGACAATTTTCTCTACTACAATAAGACGACAAAAAATTAAAAGGGCTGTCAAAGCGGCTCGTCGTTCGCGAACAACTCGTGTTTTGCTCGTTCACTAAGTTAACGAGTCAAACACGAACAAAAATTTGTCCGTTCATATTCGTCTCATTTTGGCTCAAAATACTGCTCATCAATCATATATATATATATATAATTTTTATTCTATTCTTAATTAATACTCTTAATTGATTATAGTTCTTTGTTGCCATGTAGTCAATTAAGAGTATTAATTAAAAATAGAATAAAAATTATTAAATTAAATTTAAATGATGTTTTAATATTAACAATAATTTTTAAATTTTTCCCAAAATCTTAACATTTTATTGTTACGTGAATAGGGTTGTCAAAACGACTCTTTGTTCGCGAACAACTCGTGTGCGGCTCCCCCGCCAACAAAAAGCGACACAAAATTTTTTTTTAGCTCGAAATATAATCGAGTCGAACACGATCTAAGCCTGGCTCGCTCGTTTAGGGCTCGTTTACACCCCTACATACCAAAACGAAAAATTGAGCTAGTTATTTTTATTATAAAAAAATTAAATATTTATAATAAAACAGATCACCCAAAACATTGATTGGTATTTACAAATCAAGCACCTCCTTTCATCCATTTTCAAGCTCTCAATCAAATATAAAAGATCAACATAAAACCTCCACCTATAATTTTCATTTTTATCAAATTCACAATGATTTAATCGTGACACGCGTAAATACATTGATTTTATAGTTAAAATGTGACCCGGGGCTCGATTTGTAAATAACAATGTTTCTTATACTCTGTATATAATTTATCTCTAAAGTTTAATAGATTTAATTTGAAATAAATACAAAATAAACACATGTAATTATTTAGTAGAAGCTGATTAGGAGTAATATCCAACGAACTTAAACTTAATGTTACAAAATTCATTTTCTGACACATTAAGTCGGGGTTACAAGTTTTCAATCTAAAGTTATAGCTGTTAACGGTTCAATTTCGAGCCGAGTTAGTGTCGGCTTAAAATCAAGTCGGCTCGAAGCCAAAATTTGAATTAATTTTTGAGTGATTAACAATCTTCGAGCTAAATTTACTAAATTCACAACCCCTAATATCACTAAGGCTATTCAAGATCGTATTTCGAGCCAACCAGCTCTGCTCGAAATAGAATAAAAAAAATTCGATCCAAAATTTTGACTTGTAGCTCGGCTCATTTATTTCAATTCAATCTCAATCCGAGCAGAAATTCAAATCAATTTCCGAATGATTAACGATCTTCGCGCTAAATTTACCGCCCTATTTAGAGTGGAGTTTCATGCTTACACAAGTATTAATAGTCTCTCAAAGTATTAATAATGTAAAATATTTTTTAGTTTATTTGAAATGTATTTCTATAGGCTGCAATTAAATTTGATAGGGCATCATTCATTTGTTTTTAGTATAAATTATGTTATCTGATGATAGCGATTGAGGATGATACTTGGTATCAATCGCGTTGCCTATATCATGGGTTAACCAAAGCTTCAAGGCATCTTACAATGACAACCGCTATTAAAATCTATATTACTCCTCTAAAATTAAAGGTTTGTTTGGGGCAGCTGCAGCTTATTGGATAATATGCTGACAAGCTGATTAAAAAAAATCTGCAAATAAGCTAGGTACGGTGGTTATTACAAATTTTTATTTTTTTTAGAAAAGTCATACCGCTACCAGAAAGCTGTCACCGCACCTAGATTGGTGCGGTGTGAAACCGCTGTTTTCAACGTTTTGAAAATGCATAAGCTGCTAAAACACAGTTCACCCAAATGGGTCAGGTGCGTTTTCAAGACGCCACCGCACCAAATAAGCTGCCTCAAACAGACAATAAGTTTAACAAATATAAAGTCATTGTACTTAAATTTGAGTAAATTTTAATCTTACATTATTCAAATAGTGAGAATTTGGTAGATATATTTATTATTTATATTTTAAGAAAAATATGCTCAAATGTTTTCTTGGGACTAAGCACCATGTCTTCTATCAGATAGAATCAATATCTTTCAATTATAAAAGTTCCATGATCTTCGTTTTCACAACATCTTCAGCATATATTTCGAAGTTTAGTGATATAAACTTCTCATCTTATGTTCTAAGTACATTCATCTTTGTACAATCTATAGACCAACATAGAAAATGTATAATCTTAGACTCTTGCTCAAATATTATTGGATCAATGTTCTTTAAATCTTAAAAATTGAATGTGTCTTCAAATGACAAATGAGCAGTCTTTGAGCCATCTTCAATCCATAATCAAATCTTCTTTAAACCATCTTTGAATTTTGCTTTAACATGAAAGACCATCTTTAATGATGGTTAGATCATGATCAAGGAAAAATCAAAGGATTAAAAAAAAGTTCGAAAAAGATTTAAAGATGGTTCAAAAATTTTTGAATGTATATCGAATGTGTTCAAAGATTACTCAGTAGTGGCTAATGACTATTCAATGACTCATCAAAGATTGGATGGATTGATCTTGATCCAGCAATGTGCTTCTATCATCAAAGTTTGTTTGATCTTTATTGAAGTTAGTTAAGGTTGATTCATTCAAATTGGTACGATATGTATACATATGTTTAATTGAATCAGATCAGTAAAGGGAATTACAACGATTAGATCACATACATAGCCAAGGTGTTATGAAAAGTTAAAATTATGAAGAAGCTCATACGACCTAAGCCAACAAGGCCAAAACTAACCAGACATGATGTAGACAAAAACACGACTAACTGATTCAATCACGGGTCACTCGACCAGATAAGAAAAAATTGTATCTAAACCAACTACTACAAAAAAGCCAGCCATATAGGATAGCCTAGCCTCTAGTAGAGCCAATCGAACCAGAAAGTAGCTGGACGACAAATATCTCTAACAATCTCATTGACATCTTGGATGCTCCTCACCAAGAATCAAGGATTGACAACTAGACTAAATCAGTCGATCGATCCATACAGCTGAATTATTCAAGAACTCATTCTCTTAATCACAAAACATAGAATTTACAGTTTGAATTCTGTCTAAATTAATCCTAATCTTTTAGCTTAACAAATCTATTAAAGTATGCAACAAGACAGAAATGTGCTTAGCACGTGTTCATATCTAACACCTATCAGACACTACATACCCCCAACATCTACACTGTCTGGCGAATCATAACATCTAAAAAATGAGCCACAGACATTTCTCAAATTTCCAAGCATTAAGGGGCATATAAAGTCAAACTTCCCCAACTTACAATGGACAACTGCTAAATCCCACATTTGAAACCTGCCATTCTCTGCCTGGAGCTAACACACAAAGAGGAACACGCCATTTGACACTAATAATAAAATGGGAGAAGAGAGCAGAGAACTTTCAAAAGGAATGGCAATATCTTGCATAAAATTTGGAAGATATAGATACAATATTTTCAGATTTCAACCATACAATCGCCACCGATTTAGAGCAATTAAAACCAAAAAAAGTATATAAACATTTGGTACAACCACCATGAAACTGGAAGTAGTTCCAACCCAAGATTACTGCTAACTAACAGAATTTAATTGATACCCTCCATAATATGACCATAACCAAAAAAAGAAAAAAAAAAGATTCAATGGTTGGCCACGTTGTAAATAACCACCTTTTTTATCTCATCACATCGGCTGGGGATAGGCAATCAAAACCCAGAGGAAAAAGCTCTCATCAAACTCATTCGACGGATGCTGGTCCCTCGAATCATAATTTCCTAGACCCTCTCTGAGTGTGCTCATGTTTGATAAGATTGGCTCTAAGCAACATTGCTCGAACTTCTCGTTCAAACTCAACGCCAGTTTGAAGCGCCCTTTGAAATGTCGAGTTCCTTTGATCAGTATGTCTGGCATAAAGGATTTTGTTATGCGAGTCTATCCGGGCCTGCAAGATGAGTTGCAATACAATCAAAGAGGTCAAGGAAGTGCACATAATGTGAGGGCCAATAGGGGAAATTAGTACCTGTATTTGGTTTTCAGTAATCAATGCCTCGAGTTCCTTTTGCAGGCCAGCAACAGTAGTTTTAAAGGCACTGGCCATCGTGGGCAGATCAACAGAAATGAAAGGATGTGTATACTGAATTATTGCTTTATGGCGAATATCAGTATATAATATTTCAACGTGATCATGTAAATGAATATCCAGGAGAAGATTTGGCTTGAGATTCTCAAGATAATCCAAGCAGGACGCATACCGGCTGCAAAAGATACCGAAGTCTTGGTTAGGGAATTTAGCGTTTGATGTCACATACATTGGGAAAAGAACTAGCAAAACCAAATTTTCCCTTATTTAATGATGATGAGAGAAATAGCAGGATAAAAGTTTAAAGAATATTTAATGATGAAATGATCATTGCAACGGACCTTAATCAGATAAAAGTACGGGTGTGTAAAAATTACCGGATAATAAAAAAAAGGAATATAAACATGGCCAAACTAAACCGATTACAGGATTTTGATGTACTAATTATTAGGATTCCGAGCCGACTCAAGAAGAAGAGTAATACGGGTTTGACTTGAACGGAATAATAGTTAAATATGCCCGGCAGACAGTTCACATTGCATGCCCCTAATTATCCCAAGTCCAGGAACCAACTTGCATTTGCACCATCTTTCCTAATAATTCCATTCAGCCTGTATGAATCTTATCACTCGGGGCTTCAACGGCCAGATTTTACCCTTTCCACCGAGAATAACAGCAATGATTTGATTGCTATGATAAATCTACTATTTTTTTGGTTAATGGGTTCCGCAACATCCAACTGGAGCCGAGGCATCTGCAATCAGTGAGGATATCTACATGGAGTTACTAATAGACTTTGAAGTGTTAATGAACATTGCAACTAAAGCAAAATTGAGGAAAACAAAAAAATTGTGGAAAACTCAAACACAACTAAAAAATTATGTTATTTGACTAGATTAGATTGCCTACATCACCATTACAAGGCAATTTTCTCTCTTCGAGAGTTGATTTGGCTACACTATTTGTTCCTATTGCATCGAACCCTGCACGACATTTTCTTTTCAGCCCCCACTCATCCAAATAGCAGTGAAAAGTCCGTTGTTCACTCCACCACTAGATTGTTCACCATAACCATGAATTAAAGGGCAGAGTAAATTTCTTTTCTTTCCACTCTCTTCTCCATCTCCTCTTCGTTACATAATTTACATAATTCATTTTTTTGCCTTCACCCAACTCTCTCTCTCCTCTCCCTCTCTTTCTCTCTCTTATTCTCAATTATTCTCTCCACTTTTGATTCCCCCACAAGCAACAAGCGACTTTTTTTTTCCTTCTTGAATTTATTTGGCACATGCATGCCTCCAGTCATCTTTTATCTTCATATATTTAGGAGTTTATGGTGGAACCTAAATAAAAAATTAGTTCAATTTTTATTTGAATATGATCAATACAAACAACATTTGCAACAAACTTTTGAATTAATATATTATAAAACAAAAATTAAGCTCCATCAAAATAGCAAAGTCTTCCTATAAATTCAATTAAACCTTCTCCCATCCAAAATCTTTACCATGAACCCAATCACTCTACCCTTTTGTAGCAGTCATTGTCCCACTTTTCACTCAATACCTCATAAAGAGCTCTAAAATCAATTAAAAAATTTATAAAAGCTATAATAAGGACACACAAAAACTGCTAAAAAATTAACACAAGATAATTTATGGTTTACAATATTAAGTTGCCCATGTGTGGCCTTTGTAACAGGACCAAACGACTAACTAAAATGCCTAGATGAGAAGATATCAATGAAGTTTGCCATACACAATCATAGGATAATTAAAGCCCAACCAGACTTGCCTGCATTATTAAACTTGTCTACAACACAACCACACTTGCTAACACTCATGTTTAAAATGGCAATCAGGCCACCCATCACGCTGCAAGCCTAATCATGAGAGATCTAGTAAGCTCCTAAAGCTTAAGATTCTTTGTTTTGAGGGAGGCTTGCACCTTAAGATGCATACCTTGAGGCTATGTCTCAGATGCACAGCACACAATCAACATTTACTTAAAAAAAAAAAATTAATTATATAAAAGTAGGTTTAAGTTTTCAAAATTAGAGGTTAGGCAGGTTTAGATATAGAGGGTTTTGGTTCATTTTCTCATAATAACAGAAGGAAACCTTAAATTATTATTATTTTTATTTTTTAACAATTTTTTTTTCTTTTTTAATTGAAATTAGTTTGCTTCTGATTTCTTTTAAGCACATTTTTTTCTTTTAACTGATTTTACTTTATTTTATTAGAATTTATTTTCATTTTTTTAATTTGAATTTTTTATTTATTACAATATTCATTAACTTCTTAAAATATTTTTATTATCTTTTAAACTATTTTTTTCTTTTACTCGGTTTGATTTTGTTTTCTTTTGGGGTTTAGAATTTTAATATTCTATTAAGCTAATTGTCGATAATTTATGCCATATTTATAAATTATCATTAATTGTATGTTTATTTTGCTTCTCATTCGAGGCTTGCACGTTGATCTACCTTGAGATTAATTTCTCGCCTCAATAAGATAAAGCACTTCAAATCCTAATTTTATGATTTGAAACCTCAATTGACATCACCATAATTGCATAAATAGAGAGAATTCAGCATGACCACAAAAAAGTAATCAATCAAATTTTCTCATTCATCTCCACCTGATATTCATTTCAATAAAATTTCTCTGGCACAAATCTATCGTCTTCCCTTTCTCATGAAAGCTTTTTTTTTTCCAGAAGAACAACTCCAACGATCACTCATGTATATATAGCTAGAGAGTTTAAGGAGACCGGACTTCCAGTTAAAGGAATGGCTAAGGCACGAATAATTACACCTTACCAAAGAAAACATACCTCATAAGGAAAGAAATATAGCATAATAATAAAGGAATAAAACTAAAATAGGAAACTCAAAATTTCACTCTCCCCCTCAAGCTGAGTCATAGATGTTGTAAAGACAGCTTGAAATTCAGATCAGTGAAGTTGCCTGGAAGTAGAGATTAAGGGAAGACATCAGTGAATTGAAAAGAGTTAGAATGTACACACACCCCCTATTATCCCAAGTCCAAGAGACGATGAAGTTGAAATAAGTGAGGATATCTACATGAAGTCACTAATGGACTTTGAAGTGATAAGAAACATGGCAACTAAAACAAAATTGAGGGTTAAAAAAAATTGTGAAAAACTCAAACACAACAAAAAAAATTATGATATTTGACTAGATTAGCTTGCCTACATCACCAACACACCGTAATTTTTTGTCTTCGAGAGTTGGCTTGACTACGCTATCTCTTCCTATTGCATTGAACACTAAATAATATTTTATTTTCAGCCCCTAGTTATTCGAATAGCAGTGAAAAGTCCGTTGTTCACTCCACTTGCTTTTTCACCTTAATCATTAGTTAAAGAGCAGAGGAAATTTTGCTTTCTTCTCTCTCCTCCATCTCCTCTCCTCTACATAATTTACATAATTAATTTTTTTCTCCCTCCCGCTCGCACTCGTCCTCTCTCTCTGTCTCTCTCTCTCTCTCTCTCTCCCCCGTCATCTTTTATCTCCATATAGGTGAACCAAACAAAAAATTATTAATTCAATTCACAACAAAATTTTGAATTATTATATTATAAAACAAAAACTAAGCTCCATCAAAATAGCAAAATCTTCCTATAATTTCAATTAAACCTTCTCTCATCCAAAATCTTTACCACGAAACCAATCAGTCTCTGCCGTTTTGTAGCAGCCATTGTTCCACTCTTCACTTAATACATCATAACTAGCTCTAAAATCAATTTAAAAAAAAATTATAAAAGCTAAAATGAGGACACAAAAACATGATAATTTTTGGTTCAGCGAGATTAGGTCACCTATGCACAGTCCTTTGTAAAAGACAATAAAATACCTAGATGAGAAGATATCAATGAGAATTGAGTTGTGTTCCCTATACACAATAATAGGATAATTAAAACACAACCAGACTTGCTTCTAGCATTATCAAACTTGTCTAAAGCACAACCACACTTGCACTAACACCCATGTTTAAACTGGCAATCAGGCCACCCATCTCACAGCAAGCCTAATCATGAGAGATCTAGTAAGCTCCCTGAAGCTTAAGATTTTTTGTTTCGAGGGAGGCTTGTCTTTTTTCATTTGAGATGCATACCACTCGAGGCTATGACCCGAGGCAGAGAAAGTAAGCAGCACAATCAACATTTACTTGAAAAAATACATTTTAAATTATATAAAAGAGGGTTTAAGTTTTCAAGTTCAGAGTTTAAGCCAGTTTAGACATAGTGGGGTGCGGTTCATTTTCTCATAAATTCATAAGGAAACCTCAAATTATTTTTTTAAATAATTTTTTTCTTTTTTTTAAAATTAGGTTGCTTTTGCTTTCTTTTAAGCACATTCTTTTTTATTAACGGATTTGACTCTATTTTATTTATTTGAATATTCATTTACTTTTTAAATATTTTTATTATCTTTTTAACTATTTTTTTTCTTTTATTTAAACTTGTTTGATTTTGTTTTCTTTTGGGGGTTTAGAATTTTAATATTCTATCAAGCTATTTGTCGATAATTTATGGCAAATTTATAAATCATCTTTAATTGTATGTTTATTTGCTTTTCCTATGAGGATTCCGCTTTAATCTATCGTGAGATTAATTTCTCGCCACAGCAAGATAAAACATTTCAAATCCTAATTTTTTTCTTTCAAAACCTCAATTGACACCACCATACTTGCATAAATAGAGATAATTCAGCAAGAACAGAAAAAAGGAACAAATCAATTTTTATCATTCCTCTCAACTTATATTCTTTTTGTACAACATTTATTTCTCCTCGCACAACCATATCACCTTCCCTTTCACCTTCTTTACTTTTATCTTGTTTCTTTTCCTATGTTTCCCGCAATCCACAACCAACTTACATTTCCCCTCTTCCTGATAATTTTTTTTTCACAAGAATTCCAACCATCACATTTGAACATATAGTTAGAGAGTTTAAGGAGACGAATTAAATTTAAAGGAACGGAAAAGGGACGAATAATTACAACTAACCAAACAAATATAATTTGAGAAGGAAAGAAATACATCATAATAAAGAGAGAATAAAACTAAAATAGGAAGCTCAAAATTCCACGCTCCCCCTCAAGCTCTGTCATGGATGTTGTAAAGACCCTGCCTGTTATTCAAATAAGT